GTGCTTCCCTGCTACACAAACTCCGCTTTATAAAGTTCAATCTTCACGGTGTTTAATATAAAATGCCCCCCACCCCACCTTAGAAAACTTAGAGGTCGCACACTTTCTTCCTCAGTCACGTGATGATTTCGGCTCTGTCTGATGGAAACTGAGGTCATGTTGGGAATAAAAGGTGACGCTGACAGAAAGTAAACTGAAGAAAGTCGGTGACTCTGGGTATCTGCTAAAGCTAGCGGTGTCACATTGGGTGCGTATGACATCATGCGCCGTCGACTAGGAAGCGGCTTATACTTCCGGTTAGTAAAAACCCGCTAGTGTTCCATTTTAGATGATATTAACTTTCTAAAATTCACACACTAGTCGGTAGAATATATAGTGCATAGTGTAAGTGTATAGTACGTTATTTGTCTCACAACTTTAGTATTCATTCTCCGAAGCGTGTTTTCGAAGTAAAGTAATGAGTAAATCTCCCCCGTGCCGCACGCAGACCAACTAATCGATAATTATTATCGATTAGTTGTTGCAGCTCTAATCCCATCACAAGTATGCTTCATAAAATATCTCGTTCGTGATAATAAAACAAATGAAACAGCTGGTCGCAGAAATACAACTCCTTTTGTTATGCTGAGACTTTGCATGAACATGTTGCTGCTAGAGAGATCAGAGTACAGTACTCATCTTAATATCTGATTCCAAAATTGCTAATTAGTATTTCTAATGGGGTACATGGAACTTAAAGCTATTATGGGTTTTGAAACTTGCCTAACTTTGTTTTAAAAGGTCTCGTACAATAGATTTACATGCATACGAGGACAAAACACACTTTAATGTGCTCATAATTTAATATGCAGCATTAGCTTTTACCCCCTAGCGTCACAAAGGACTCATTAAATGATCCATTCTAAACGATTCGTTCTAAACTCCTCCTTTCAGAGAGCATTGCTCTGATTGGTCAGATGTCCTAGTCTGTTGTGATTGGTCTACCGCTGTCAGCGTGCAGCCGATGAAGACCTACGTAGGTTAATGCAGGAAGTAAGTCTGGAATTACTGACGACTCATTTCAGCTGTTCAGAATCAGTTCCTTCTTTTAGGAGTCAAGAACTCTGCTTGATGTGCGCTTTGATTTTTGAAACTTTGCAGACTTTTTACAAATGACAAACGGTTATATAACACACTACATGATAGGTAATATTTCCCAAAGCATAATAGTTGCACTTTCATAAAACAGGGTTCATTCTCCACGAATGAACCTGCACTCCCGTTCTCTTAGTAGAGGAGCCGTCTCATCTCCTTTCCGGGCAAAACACAAAATTACACATTATAGCGGGAACAGTTTTCCAGCCAGCTATTTCTAGCTCATACAGGGCAGCAAAATAATTTTCGGGGAAGGGGAGGACTCAAATCATTTTGCAGTCTGGCGAACGGGATTTTACACTTCAGAGAAACCCATTAGCAGAAATGCCTCCAGAAAGTGTTCAAATACTTAGGAAAATAAACCCTACCCACTCTGAAAGGTTTAGAACCACTGGTGATTAGGAATCATGATTTGGGGAAAATAAATCTAATTTTGTCATGAATATAACACTTCCACAAGTGGCCACTTTTGCAAAACTGACCTAATTTCTAATAATATTCATACTGCATTTGATGTTAGAACTTTCTTTTAATCTTTAATAAAACTTCCCTGCTCATCAGAAAATCCGAGAACACAACCATAACGCACTAGTATATGGCCAAACGTATGTTTACACCTGACCATCATAGCCATATGTGGGTCTTCTACATATGTTGGAAGCACACAGTCAGTTCATAGGGGGCCAAACCTGTTCCAGCATGTGTCCAGCAGTGACCTGCACAGAACTGTGACCTCAAGCCCACTCAACACCTCCTCGCCGAACATCAGTGAAGAACCTCAGCAATGCTCTTGGAGTTGAATGAGCACAAATCCCCATAGACACGCTCCAAAATCTAGTGGGAAGCCTTCCCAGAAGAATGGAAGTTATTATAACAGCAAAGGGGGGTTGCACAATCTGGAATGGGCTGTCCAAAAAAAAGCACATATGGGTATGATATTCACGTGTCCACAGACAAAACGACAAAAAAAAAAAAACCCCAAAACAAAATTGTGCCACTGTGATATGGGTATAGAAGTCAAGGTTTTATTATTTGTAGCCGTCTTTAAAAAAATTCCACACCTTACCCAGCTTTACTAGTGATGATGATCTGAGGAAGTTCTTACCTGTGCATGTGCTCCACCCCAGTGAAGATCATGATACCGTACGTGAGTCCACTCTGAACCAGAAAGTGTAAAGCATACCTGCGGAGAAAAAGAACACACACACACAAAAAAAAAAAAAACACAAATTAATGCTAGCTTGGAGCGGAAACACGTTTGCCGGTCCTTTTAACCGGAACACATCCAGAAGCCACTGCAGCAGGACCGCTAGATTCAATAAACCCATGCAGAATCGATCACCACGCGTTCAGGAACAATCAAACCTGCTCGGTGCTTCTAGATGGCATAATGAGAACGTGGAACTGGCTGACAAAAGGACATCACAGTCGTACTAATCACACCTACACAAAACAGAGGACAATTCATGTCCATGAACAGCGTGTGATGAACAGATCGAGACTCTGAGTCAGCGTAGTAAACATTCCCCAGCCTTACACAAATGCTACGACAAAGAGAGGCACACTGTGATTTCACTTAATGGGTGTAAAAAATTATTCTCTGGACTAAACAGTTTGGTGTCCAATCTCATCCGGAAAGGGCCGGTGTGGGTGCAGGTTTTCATTCCAACCAATCAGGAGCCACGCCTGATTCCACCTGTTTATCGTGGCTTCCAACAGATTCAGGTGTGGCTTCTGCTTGGATGGAATGAAAACCTGCACCCACACCGGCCCTTTCCGAATAAGATTGGACACCCCTGGTTTAATCGCTTCTAACTGGCTAAAAATATAAATGAAAGAAAAAAATTTACGTATTGAACTGAAGAGTGCGGAAGCCATAAGCGACCATGCATTTTTGTTGTTGTTTTCTCGTGATCACGGCACAACAAAAGCCGTTTTTCTCACGACATAATTGTACATCTGGTTTTTGAGACTGGTGTTACATGCACGTTGGCATTGTGGCCATCAGAAATGTAATGATTGTCCGCTGTAGAGATGGACTTTATCTCCGCAGTAACAGAGACAGATTTGACAGGCAGTTGTTATAGAACTGGAATTGAAATAAAAACATTACAAAAGGGAAAGAAAGAAAAAAAAAACCACAAGGATGTCAAATCATGATGAAAATATGGATTTCGTAAGTTCCGCAGTACCCACGGATTGAGTAATGCAACACTTGTGCTTTCCCAGTTACTTCCTGTTTCACACTGACTCAGATTCGTTCTTCTGTGGTCAGGGCTCAAATACTGACAAACCGAGACTATACACTTGGGCAAAGGTGAGATTTTCATCCATTGAGCAATAGTATCTAAAGTGTGATTCATTCTTGATCGCAAAATCTTGTGATAGATAACCACGCATTTCTGTCATTTGACCTACATGTGACTTCACTGCTCATGTGCATCGAGCTGATATGGGTTACTACATGGTTAATAAATTTCATATTTTGCTGCTTTTTCACTGCAGGAACTTTCCCCAGGAACTAGGAACTCTTGTAGTTTCCACCGCAGGGACCGAGGTCTAAAAAAACATTTAGCCCTCGCAAAATCCTTACTCAGGAGACGATGCTTTTTGAAAAGCCAGGAACTTTGTGTGCTGAACATGCTGATTGGTTGATTGCACACAGCATTTATAAGTTCTGCTGCTGTGCGTACAGTAACCGTTGTTTATTGGTTTGAATCAACAAAATGGAGCTTCTAAAAAAAAAATACGACAGATGGACCGACGACGCGTGTCAGGCCTTTTTAAGGATTTATTCCCAGGATGAAATACAGCGGGAACTGGAAACGGCGACAAGTGGGTTAAGCGAGCTGGGCATCAGCAATAGCTGATAAAATCCGTTTGCTTACTAGCATTACGAGCATCCTGAATCCACCTTACTACAACTGCTCGTCTATTTTCCAGCGTTTTGTCAATTACTTCTTTAGCAAAGTAACACATCACAATCGACAGCAGCACAGCTTGAATCTCCTCCTCCTCTGCTTGTTGTTGCAGTGTCGTTATCAGATATAAGAAAATAGGCTGTCCATTTTTAAAACACGAACCTTGATCCAAAGATTTTTTTTAAATAATAAAAATTCATTCCGTGGCGAGAATCGAACCCGGGTCGAGCGCCGAATCCTAACCACTAGTCCACCAGTTTGGTTGTAGTAAACTCTATTGTTACAGAGGTTTGTATTCTACATGTTTTTATGGGCTGAGCAAACATTTTACATCATTAAAATCAGTTTATTTTGTGTTAATAATCAGTTTGATTGTAGCATACTTCAAGGCTTCATAACCTCGCTAAGGGCTTGTCGTGCGCAGTCATACATCACCGGACTAATCTGCCTAATCTTCATGGTACTTTAGACCGCGATGGAAACACAGACAACATAAGGTCTGGAGGAAAATTGAAAAAGGTTCCTGGGACGAATTGTTCCGGGTAATTTCGGTTGAAACACGAGTAGTTGCATCATACCGTTGCAGCCACGAATGCTACGATCCTTTCAGTTTTCATTTACTTCACTGAACTAAAGCAGTGCCATTGCCCCGGAACATCCTCAGTAGCACAGAAATCTCACAGAAGGAGGCGAACTTCACAAATGCTGACCACTCCCTGGCTCCCTGCTTCGCCTCGTTGTATTGGGAGGTGAACCCACCTGCAGCTGTGCATCAGGAGAAACAAGCATTTCATAGTGTAATATGCAAGCCCTGGAGAGAGGATCAGCAGGGGGATGTTTCAATCTCCAGCAGGTTCATGCAAGCACAACCCAGCCCAAAGCAAGAGGCTTTAACCCATTTTAAAGAATAATAATAATAATAATTTGAAAAAAAAAGATGGGGGGGCATGGTGACTTAGTGGTTAGCACGTTTGCCTCGCACCTCCAGGGTTGGGGGTTCGAATCCCGCCAGCGTGCGTGGAGTTTGAACGTCCCCCCCTGTGCTTCTGGGGGTTTCCAACAGGTACTCCGGTCTTCTCCCCAAATCCAAAAGACATGCGGTGTAGGCTGATTGGCATCTCTAAATTGTCTGTAGTGTGTAAATAAGTGTGTGATTGTGCCCTGCAATGGGTTGGCACCCTGTCCAGAGTCTCCCCTGCCTTGTGCCTAGAGTTCCCTGGGATACACTCCTACACAGAGATAGGCTCCCCTTGTGACCCTGTGTAGGATAAGCGGTATGGAACATTGATGAATGGGTTAAATACGAAAAAAAGCTCAGATATAGCTCGGAGAGTTTTTTTTCTTCTTCTACACAAAAAGATTTCATGGTTTTGTTTTCCTTTATTACAAACAAAATGGAGTCTGGAAATGACCAGGCAGATGCTTTATAACCATGCCATCATGACTGCTTAACTGTCCGCCTTCAATAAGGAAGTGAAACGCGTCCACTGCGGAACTCAGTCGATGAAGCAACATGGAATTCCTGACATGACCTGTGTCACATTGACCTGCAGCGGAAAGTGATGCTGGCTGGGCACGTTATCGGATACTGACAAACAGAAGAACAGGTTAATTGGCAGCTACTAGACACACTGGCCATCATCCAATATACACTGAAGTTTGCGCTTGTCGCTTGCAGTGATGTGCGCACAGTAAGTATAATACGAATTCACAGGTCACAGTTTGCCAGACTTTGGGACAGTTTGCGAAACGTGTACTGGGACCCGCACCCTAACCCTAGTGCATGTCGACGATGCAAAACCACACCGCACACTACGCTGTGTGAAAATATAAAGCTGCGTCTTTCAACAAAACAAGTGAGCCGATGAAACATCGTATGGCATTTAAATGGCATGATTAATAGAAACTATCACACCCATACAGCATGTGGAACGCCCCCAAACGGTTGCCACAAATTTGAAGCACATAACAGTCTAGGATGTCTCCGTAAGCTATAGTTCACATTGACTGGCCCAAATCTGTTCCAGCATGACAATGCTCCTGTGCACAAAGCAAGCTCCATGAAGACATGGTTTGCAAAGCTTAGAGTAGAAGAACTCGAGAGTCCTGACCTCAACCCCCCGCAACACCTCCTCACCTGCTATCAGTGCCAGACCTTCACTATTGCTATTGTGGCTCAATGTGCAAATCCCCACAGCTTCCCAGAAAAGTGGAGGATATTATATTACAACAGCAAAAATTTATTAAATCTGGAATGGGATGCTTAAAATACACATATGGTTATGATGGTCAGGCGGATGGTCATTTAAATCGAGGTGAACTCAACGCCAACTGTGTCGACAGACACCGCTGCTGCTAAGAAGTCTATTCATTCTTATTTCTAGCTGATATACAGTACTGTGCAAAAGTCTTACACACATACAAATAAATGCTGTGGAGCAAAGACGCCTTCAAAAATAATGAAATTAAATGTTTCTACATTTAAAACAACAAAAAAAACACCATAAAAACCAATAAACAGTAATAAATTTAAAAAAAAGGTCAATATGTGGTATGATGATCCTTTGCTTAAAAAAATTAGTAGTCTCAGGTACTATTAATATGTGCAGTTTTAGAAGGAAATGAGCTGGAAGTTTTTCTGAGCATCTTGCAGAACCAGACACGGTTCTTCTGGAGACTTTGACTGTAGCACTCGCTTCTTATTTTTGCAGAAAAAACCCAGCAGCCTTCATTGTGTTTTTTGTCTGAAAAGTGTCTCTTATCACTTAATATTCTGCTTGGTTTACAAACATTTTTCCCCAACATTTCATTTTGTGCTGGAAAACTAAATGGTAAATGGTCTGCAGTCTTGCCCAAGGACACTTCGGCACGTGGAGTCATGTGGGCTGGGAATCGAACCCTACGATAATGTAGAACTCCTAAAATAAAAATCTATAACATAGTCTGTACTTAAACAAAATCGTGTGCCTAAGACTTTTACACAGTGCTATACTTGGACCATTTTTGGATCGATGCCAAAATGCAGTCTGTTCATCTGGAGGCAGCAAAGATAAGTCCACGTTTAAGCACTTACTTTGGAGATCTTGCACTAACTCAAATTTCCAGACAGACAGATGGCCAAAATCCTAGATAGCCAGTAAATGAGCTTGAGTTCCTGAACATGAAGGTGTCAGGAACATCTTTGTATGAAACCATGAAGTTAAGCAAGCTATTGATGAAAAACTATTTCAGGACACCTGACCGCTGTTTGGATCAGTTCCAAAAACTAATCAGTCCAGCTGCTGGTTACGATCATAATCCCGTATTAATCTCCTGAATTTCCCCTACAGGGGATTAACAAAAACTACACCTTATCTTATCTTAAAAACATTCAAACGCTCGTTCCGGAGATATTGCGACACTTGAACAGATATAGTGGCAGGAGCATACAAACGTCCCGACATTGGAGATTTTTCGTCATTTTCGAGTATTTCGCATCTGCAATGCGCAGATATTCCTTTTGTACTAGTAATATTGAAAACGAACCAAAGCAACAGAACTCTTCTTTAACTATTAGTAGGGCTGCAATTAACGATTATTTTCATAATCAATTAGTTGGTCGGTTTTTTTTTTCTTCAATGAACCGGTTAATCGGATGATTAATCGATTAATGGTTAATCGGCAAACTTAAAGTCCATTTTTTTTTTCTATAAAAATCCACAAACTGAGTTTTACAAACAAACTTCAGACTCGAGCTTTACACAGCTGTTTGTCCAGTTATATAAGACTGAAAAGAACCCAATACCCACAGACACACACTAGAATATATACAGTACTTATTCAGGACTGTAGATTAATTCAGTGCTATAAAAAGTAATACATAAATATTTGTAAATATATTTGTGTATTACTTTTTATGGATGCACAAACAGAACTGAATTCTCCAGTCCTAGCAATCCCTGGTGGATTGATAGAACCAGTCATTCCCCAGGGACTGGTTCAAATACCATTTGCCTCAATTACATTTTACTGCTGTTGCGACATTTAATTTGACTCTCTGAATCATCTGATGTTCATTTTATCCATCCATGCGACACTTGAACTTGTCTACCACTCGTAGGTTTTTGCAACTCATTTCATTTTAAATAAATCCATCAATGAACGATCGCCAGCTCAGCTAACGGGATATTTGTGAATGCATGTGAATAACCAAATTGATTACTTTTAAAACATCTCATTTGAATATATTTTGATACATTATTTGAACATTTTTAAAACATTCCTACGGCCCCTCAGCAATTACACCACTGACCACTAGGGGTCCGCGGAAACACTGCACTAGACTGTAGAGTACATAATGTATAGTGTAAGTGTACAGTACGTCATTTGGGACACAAATTTATCTACTTAGTATCTACTTTCCGAAGGCGTGTTTTCATAACAGAACGTTGACGTAATAAGTAAATGTACCACGTGCAGACGAACTAATCGATAATGAGATTCGTTGACAACGATTTTCATAATCGATTATTATCGATTTTATAGATTAGTTGTTGCAGCTCTAATTAATAGCTTCATCAATAATTTACATTTTATGTATAGAAATTCTAAAAAGTTAACGCGAAATTAAATCAATCCCAGTTGTACATATATCCGAGAGATTTCTCCCAGCTGACTTTTAGAGTCGAAGGTGTCAATATCGAATAACCTTTACTGACTTGAAATTAGCATTCTTGACCTGAAGTTGATCCCTGAGGAAAACTGAATATGAGGAATTATATAAAGGTAGGTTTTTTTTCCTGACATCCCATATCGGTGTTTTATGAATTTATGGCAGCTAGAAAAGACCCATAAGTGCTACAAATCACAGAACATTCTCAAAGTCCGATAACGCCTGAGGCACGGACACAGATGGACACAAAGCGTTTCTCACCAGCCGAAGCAGAAGAGGGCCAGGTAGAAGCCCAGCAGTGTGGCCACGACATGCCGGATAAAGGGACTGGTCTTGCTGGGGTGCAGATACAGCCGAAACCAGCAGGCCGTGAGCAGGGCGAAGAGCTGGCAGACCACAAAGTTCACCTGAGAAAGACACAGATATGCAGAGAGAGTGAGGTCCAGAGGGATAGAGGTTTCACCTCTCAGTAGCTGGACAGTTAATCATCCAGGGCTGAGCCCAGATTCTTGTCCATGAAGACTGTTTTCGATGCATGTGAGGGCTAATTGCTTTAAAAAATGTGATAATTGGACAGAAAGTCCAGGATTTATCTTAAAACTTGCCTCGGGTGTTATCGCTGTTTGCAGGACTACCAGAGCGATAAAATATAAAACCTTTTGGCTGTCTAACACAAGATTAGGCTAGTTTAGTGTCGCTAGCCAAGGGGAGGTGCAACTAAAATAACATTGTATGAGTTTATCATGCAAAGTACATTATCTTTGCTCATGCTCTGCTTAGATCATGTTCACGTAACTTAGACCTCATATAGACATTTACACAGCTTGTTTTCCTGCTCAGCGTCAGAGGATGTTACTGGTAACCACTTTACTGGTAAAAAAAAAAAAAATGATTATAATTTTTTTTTTTAATTGGTGCATATTCATTCCCCCCCCCACACTAACTTTAATTACAGCTTTAATATTCAAGCAATACTTATTTTTTGCAGTATCAGAAAAAGTCCCGTATTAAGACGACATCATTTTTATCAAATCTTAGGCACATTTCATGTTCAGGCACTGCTTTTTCTTTTTGCTGTATTGATCTTTCAATACAAAACCGATCTGGGATTTTGTGTCTCGTTACACCGCTGTGACGAGCTAGAACACTGTTCGTGCCCTCGTTGTGAAGGCAATAAAGCCAAAAGGTTCCTCACCCATCAACGGATATTATATTTCACAATGTCTTCTCTCACACGTATGCACACAGAGCCACAGAGCTCAGACTCTCTTCTGTCAACGTCTTATCAGTCCCTGACTCACACACACACGTACATTCACACCCGTGGCTAGTGTTACGAAAGCTGACAAAAACACAAGGCTCGTTAT